GCTGGCCATTTATATTAATATCCATCCATCCACCTTTGTCCGCTTTATTCGAGACCGGGTCGCGGGGGCAGTAGTCTAAGCAGAGCCTTTCAGACTTCCCCTTCACCACACACCTCCTCTAGCTCCTCAGGAGGAACCCCAAGGCGTTCCCAGGCCAGCTGGGAGACATAGTCTCTCCAATGTGTCCTGGGTCTGCCCTGAGGCCTTCTCCCGGAGGGACATGCCCGGAATATCTCCCCAGCGAGGCGTCCAGGGGGCATCCTAAACAGGTGTCGGAGCCACCTCAACTGGTTCCACTCAACGTGGAGGAGCAGTGGCTCTACTCTGAGCTCCTCACCGGTGACTGAGCTCCGCACCCTATCCCTAAGGGAGCGCCCAGCCACTCTCCGGAGGAAACTCATTTCTGCCGCTTGTATCCACGATCTCATTCTTTCAGTCATGATCCAGAGTTCATGGCCATAGGAACATAGATCAACCAGTAAATTAAGAATTTCATCTTATGACTCAGCTCCTTCTTCACCACAACGGATTGGTGAGGTGTCCGCAGTAATGCAGTCTCTGTACCGGTCTGTCAACCTGCCGCTCCATTTTTCCCTCACGCGTGAACAAGACCCTGAGATATTTAAACTTCTCCACTTGAGGGAGCAACTCGTCCCCAACCCAGAGGGAGCAATCCACCTTTTTCCAATTGAGAACCATGGCCTCAGATTTGGAGGTGTTAATTCTCATCCCTGCCATTTCACACTTGGCTGCAAATCCCTCCAGTGCATGCTGTAGGTCTTGAACTGATAAAGCCAACAGAACCACATCATCCAGAAAGAGCAGAGACAAAATTTTGTGGCCACCACAACAGACACCCTCCGTTCCCTGGCTGTGCCTAGAAATTCTGTCCATAAAAATAATTAACAGAATTGGTGACAAAGGGCAGCCTTGGCAGAGTCCAACATGCACTGGAAACAGGTCTGACTTACTCCCGGCAATGTGAACTGAGCTCCTACTCCAGTCATACAGGAAACGGACAGCCCATAACAACGACATCCTCAGTTAAGGTCAGCAGCACACCACCTCCACTGTAAACAATGTTGGCAGAATGCTACTTCCCCCTCCTGAGCCGCCGGACAGTTCTCCAGAATCTCTTTGAAACCAACTGAAAGTGTTCGTCCATGGCCTCACCAAACCTCTCCCAGGCCCGGGTTTTTGCCATGGCGACTGCCAGGGCTGATCCATCTAGATAAGGCAACAGCAGTAGAGCTGGTTAGAGATGGGCAGATTGAAAGAAGAGAGATTTCAACATCTAAAACACACAGACTGAGTGTTACTCAGGAGTCCCATGAGTCAACCAGGCCCAATAGAGCTCCTTCTTCAGCTTGACAGCATCCCTTACTTGCGGTGACCACCACCGTGTTTGGGGATTGCCACCGCGACAAGCCCCGGAAACCTTAGGGCCACAACTCCCAGCAGCTGCCCTTGACAACAGAGGTGAGGAACATAGTCCATTTGGACTCAATGTCCCCAGTCTCCCTTTGCACCTGTTTGAAGCTCTGTTGGAGGTGGGAGTTGAAGACCTCTCTGACTGGGGCTTCCACCAGACGTTCCCTGCAGACCCTGACTATACGCTTCGGCCTGACAGGTCTGTCCAGCTTTGCCCCCCGCCATCAAATCCAACTCACCACCAGGTACTGATCGGTTGACAGCTCAGCCCTTCTCTTCACCCGAGTGTCCAAAACATATGGCCGAAGATCAGAGGAAACGACTACAAAATCAATCATCGACCTCCAACCTATGGTGTCCTGGTGCCATGTGTACTGATGGACAACCCTATGTTTGAACATGGTGTTTGTTATGGATAAACTATTACTAGCACAGAAATAAATAACAACTCAATGAGTTATTTATATTAAAATGACCCACAAAATAAAAAAGTGATTGAGAGAATAAATATTGATTTATTTTGAAGAATTCATTGGATGTTTAGACATTTTCACAAAGCACATCCACTTTTTGTCTCGATGACAAACTGTGTTGATGTTTTCCAGGTTGGTGGAGGTTCATCATCATCTCTGTGGGTTTAGCAACACTCATCATTATCGTTGTTACAGTCAACATATGGATGAGAACTAAAGGTGACAGCATCGGCCGGTGAACATGTCAGAATGAGAAGCTTCAGTGATCTTGCATTTTCACTGTTAAAGCTAAAGTCGACTCGTTTGTCTTTTCAGGGAACAAACCACAGATGGATAACACCAGTGTGAGTAGAAAGCTGAGAAGTCCCATGTGTTACTTTACAGAGCAGAGCAGTGTTTGTGGTCTGGGTTCTTCCCTATTAACTGTGGGGGCTGTAGAAATCAGAGGATTCTGGATTTCCTCAGGCTAAATGTGGCTCAGTGGAAGCCTGACAGTCAGAGGAGGCTGTGACTGGGAAGTGGTCAGTGTGAATCCCTGGATCGGCTCTGACAGTGTGTGTTGGGACAGTGGAGGAGTAATGCTCTCATCTGCTCCACTGACTATCAGTGAAGTTCCCTTGAGCAAGGCGCTGGACTCCAGCTGTTCCTCTGCAGCTGCTCTGTGCTTCAGCACTGATTTGTTTGCACTCAGAATCTCAGGTGTGTTGTGTTGTTGTTCACAGGTGCACAGTGATGAAGATGATGGTACAGTGACGTATGAAAACCATGGAGACCCTTCTGTTTCTGTCAGACTCCACTGATCAACAGCTTCAAATGAGTCAACTGCTGTTGTGTCACCATCTCGTCTAGTGTGACATGAGCAGCTGGATCAGGAGATGATTGTCAGATTGTGGATGACTGATTGTTTTTTAATTTAAATTTCATTTCATATGAACAAACCCACTGTGGGTTTACACAACATCTGTTGCAGAGGAACTCATTTCAATTGACTTTATTTATTATCGATGTTGATTTGATTTGATTGGATTTGATTTATTCTTTCAAGCATGTAAAGACAATTGATATATCAACACACATGATTTTACACATATCCAACAAATGCTAATCCAATATCAATTTGCTTATACCTAGTACATGCTTGAATGGAGTAGGAAGAAGTCAGAGAGACCCTTCTGTTTCTGTCAAACTCCACTGATCAACAGCTTCAAATGAGTCGACTGCTGTTGTGTCACCATCTCGTCTAGTGTGACATGAGCAGCTGGATCAGGAGATGATTGTGTCAGAAGATGATTGTCAGATTGTTTTTTAGGCTAAATTTCATTTCATATGAACAAACCCACTGTGGGTTTATACAACATCTGTTGCATCCGTGTTGATCTCTGTCTCACCTGCAACTGGACTTTAACTTCATCATCATCCACCACACCCTCAATGTTCCATCTAATTAATCATTAAACCTGTTCTTGCTTATGTCTTGATTGACACATACCTTTATATTTGTATTTAAACTCTTTGCACTCAGAATCTTAGGTGTGTTGTGTTGTTGTTCACAGGTGCACAGTGATGAAGATGATGGTACAGTGACGTATGAAAATGATGAAGACCCTTCTGTTTCTGTGTTAATGTGGAGAATGTTAATGTGTTTGCTGTGAGTCCAGAATGTTTTCACACAGAGCAAAGTTTTCATGGATTTTTTATGAAATGTCTGTCCATGTTTTAGTGCAAACTATTAAACATGTATTTGACCAAAGTCTTATACTTACTTACATTATGTATCCATACAATCATCAGGCTGATGATGAGTGTGGCTGTGTCAGAGCAGATCTGTGTGTGTGGATCAGCTGCCATGTCAGGCCGAAGCCCCCGGCTGTCACTGATTCTCTCTCCACTCACTTCACGCTGTTACCTGCTCATCTGGTCAGAGATTTGTATTGAACAGAATGTTTGGGTGTAAATATTTCAGAGATGATGCTATAATAAATATGTGCAAAATGACACAGCTGAGGCTCTAACTCTTTCTGAAGACAAAGTGTTGCATTAACGCAAACATATCTTAACTAAGAATCTTCACACTTCCTTCTTCCTTTCAGGGCGTCAGACACGTCACTGACACAAATGCACAGGACACAGTGTCCTTGTTGATTCAAAAGATTGGTTTCCTGATGCAGCTTTACATCGTCCTAACTGATGTTAAAACACCGGAACATATTTCTGTCTGTTCATACTGTATGTGTTGTCACATGTCACCATGAGTTGTCTGAGAAACTCTAAAGAGCAGATGAAGCATTAATGCAAACATCTACTGTCACAAATAGTATTGACATCTTCAGCTTCTTCAGTTGTCATAATCTTCTTTCCACATGGTCTCAGTTCGCACATCACCAATACACAGTGAGACCAGATGCAGTGTGAACCTGTTGGTTTACTTGGTCCAGTGTTTAGTAGTGGTGACACTAATAGAAGTGGATCAAACTGTGTTTTTAAAGGCAGAATTTGAGCTGCAACGTGATTTGTCTTATTTTAGAGAATTCCTGCAGTTTCGTCTGGTGTTGACCTGAAGTTTATCTCAGCTTTTTCCTCTGCTGTTTCTCAACACTTCTCCATCCTACATGCTCATTTCAGTTCACAGTGAAAAGTGTAGTTGTAGCTTATGTCGATCTACAAGAGAGATGAAAAATGCTCCATATGTATAATTATACCCTGACAGCAGAAAGAAAGAAGTTAAAAAATGCAGAAGTTAATGTGAGGAAGTGACGTCTCCCTGATCACAGAAGTACATAGGCATCATCTTTAAGAAGCAGCAGTTCAGACAGCTGAGGGTGAGAACCAGAGACACATGAGAGAGAAGAACGATGGCTGGATTCACACGGATTAACATGGTTTTGTTTCTGATGCTGGAGCTTCAGTTTACAGGTGAGGACACATATAAGGTGTGAACATTACAAACCACAGCTTGATTAATGCTGTTAATGGTATTTTTATCAGGGACTTTGATCGACATGAGCAAAACAAACAAGTCTGATGTCTGTGTTTAACAGGCCAAGTGTAGTGGACTCCTGGAAACTAAAGCTGTGACACATGTACAAACTACTGTTGTGTCTAAAACCATCTTCTCAGATTCTCATTGGTTTTTCATTTGTGTCTCATCTTCTGAGCAGCAGTAGCTGGACAAGGTTCCGACCTCAGTGTCAGAGAAGGAGATGACGTCACTTTGCCTTGTGAAAGTCTGAGAAATGCTCAGAGTGGATGTGAAGAAACTCTGTGGTTCTTAAATGGTCCAAGAGTGGCAACAACAGTAGAGCTGGTTAGAGATGGGCAGATTGAAAGAAGAGAGATTTCACCATCTAAATCAAACAAACTAAGTGTTACAGAGAAATGTTCACTGGTTATGAAGAAGGTCACATCTGAGGATGTTGGTCGTTACACCTGCAGACACCGAGATCAAGACTTTCTGGTTCTTTTGTCTGTTGTTATCAGTGAGTATTTCCATCACGATGTTTTCAGCTCAAACTGTCTTGTTAGAACAAAACACTGAAACATTACAATAACTGTGATTACAGTGATGAAGTTAATGTTACTCTTGTTGTCTTTCTCTCACAATATCTCCATCTGCACCAGTGACTGAACAGAAAGACGGTGATAA